CTATTCAACCCTCTAGGTGGCCCAGCACAATGTGGCTTCTTTTCTTTGAATGAGCTCTTTCCACACTAACAGGGTCCCGGGTGATGTGGAGAACCATGTGCACAAAATTGGTGCACCGCCCCCCATTCCTTTGTGGGCAGGCCAGGTTAAATTCATATCAGCAGGCATGTGAGCGCGAGATGAGGTGATGACTTCAGACAATGGCGCCACACTCTCCAGTTGGAGACACTTGCCTTACCAGTTGCAGTAGTTAATTAATATGCTAAAAATAGAAGCCAGTGATACAAATCGCTGCCTGTTGTACAACAAAGACTGGGCATGTGTAGCTTTGATAGCCAAGTTTATCGTGCTTGTTATGGAGGGAAGTTAGTGTAGAGCTAGAAGCAATGTAAGACTTTCTGGATGCTGAGCTTTAGTCACTCTGGGCCTCTGGCCATTCGCTAGCTGTCTAATTTGCATTATGAATGACATTAAGGGAACTAACAAGGTTATTGGGCATAGAAATGTTCTCATGTGACCACACGTGGAAGCAGACCTACAGCAGTGCTAGTTGGCAGGGGCACTGTGGCTCTTTATTCAGCTGTCTAGGAGGAGAGTTTCTGGGAGAACATAACTCAGATATAAAATAAACCATGAGGAAAAACTACATTCAAATAATGTAAAGGGCCTGATGTGTACCCCTAGGAGGCAAGGAAATTCATAGTAAAGACTGGGATTCCTCCCTTCACTTAGCCCATTGTACCTAAGTTATGGCAAACATAGGGCCCGGTATGTATGATGCCCCATGGTTGGAAGGCTCCTACAGTACCAGCTATTGAAACTGCAGGGCGGATGAGAGAAGGACAGAGTTTCATTCTTAATTCTGAACCTCTGCTTCTCTGTGTACAAGTCCAATCTCTAATGATATTCAACTTAATTTTCAAGAAGAGGAAATTTCTTTGTTGCTGGTATCACATCTTCCTCAAAAACGAGGAGGGAAGGGATAAACCCTCTATTATTTGTGCTTGTAGTAATGACATCATTTGGTAATTTAAAGGTTAGGGCTAGATTCTTATCCCGAGTTACAGCTATGTAAATCTAGGATAACTCCACTGACTTCAACAGATTTATGCTGATTTGCACTGATCTGTTTAAAATCAGAATTTGTTCCATGTTCTTAATCACATTTAAATATCCTCTTTAAGAACCAGTGGGCCTGGTTCTTCTCTTATTTACACTGGGATCAATCTGGAGCATCTTCGTTGAACTCAATGGACTAGATCCTCAGCTGCTGTAAATCAGATCCATTGTCTTCTGTGATACACCATTGTAAATTAAGTCCACTGCAATCAGTGAGCCAACATCAACTGACCCTGTGGAGTTAGATCAGTGTAAAACCAGTGCATCTGAAAGGAGAACCAGGCCCACTGAGCCAAAGTCTGCCTTCACTTGCACCTTTGTAAAGTCTATAGATCACTGTAGATTTATACCCTTGTAAATAACAGCAGCTTGTGGATACTGAGTCTGTCATGTAAACATGATTTTGCACACATTCTAAACATTTTATAAACATTTGCTATTTGCTCCATGGGCTGGGAGTAGGGCCTAGACAGTTACTCATGCATACAAATATTTACTCATTTTTAAAAACACCTATTTACCTGATTTTGTGAGCCATTTCTGTTTCTAAATTGAACTATGGGGTCCTGTAAACCCTCTTTCACACACTTCTTAGAAGATACCATATCTGCCCATAATACAGCGCTGCTGTAGTATCAGTGGGCAAGTCCTGACTTCTTTCCATTATCCATCCGGTTTTAAGCAGAACTCCCAGTTGAAGACAATAAGGAGTTCAGCTTAAAATGCAACTGTATGACCAGGCTCTGAGGAAGAGGTCCAGGGTTTGATCTGTTAAGAGTATTCACTTACAGTCTTTCTGAAAGGTGTTCTGAAATGTCCTTTTCATATGTGTTCATTTTTTTTAATTGTATCCTTTGGTATATATGGTTGTGACTATTTTCTTCCACTATTTGATCTGAGGAAGTGGGTCTGGCCCACGAAAGCTCATCATCTAATAAACCATCTTGTTAGTCTTTAAAGTGCTACACAGTCCTGCATTTTGCTTCAGCTACACCAGACTAACACAGCTACATTTCTATTACTAGTCTTTAGAAGGAAGTAATGTACTAGACTCTTATTCCAGTTTCATTTGTATCATTCCATTTGCTTCAGTGGAGTCACTTCAGGTGTATGCTGGTACACCTAAGATCTTTGTGTGTAGCTCTGAAGACCTAGGGTGTGTCTAGACTACATGCCTCCTTCGACGGAGGCATGTAGATTAGCGAGATCGGAAGGGGGAAATGAAGCCGCGATTAAAATAATCGCGGCTTCATTTAAATTTAAATGGCTGCCCCG